TCAGAAAGTATATTAAAAGAGTAGCATTGGGTTGCGTGGGTGATGAGAAATGAGGAGAGGAGACATGATTGTACAATATTATCGGTGTCTGCGGTAATTGTTTAGTAGTTACTGTAAGCAAAATATGTCCTTTTGTGCTTGTCTCTGTGTAAGTCCTTAAATCTAGGATAAAGAATGCAGACTATACTTATTTTAGTGTACTTGCATTAGTGAATGCAGCCTGTACTAGAATATATCATCCTGATCTGAAAAGGATGTGTGTGCCATGACTTGCTATAAAATGGATGGCAGTTTTCTCCGCATTGAGGGTTATTAAAAGAGAGTGGTTGAGAGAAGGATTCAGATAACTCAGTCTATTTGGGTATCAAAGGGAAGGTTAAGGAGTGTTGTGATCACTGCTGGTAAATGCCGGCGAGATGACGGGCATTTGATAATCTGAGCTCTTCAAGAAGGCAAACAAGAATGTAGCGATGACTTGGTATTGAAGCTAGATAAGTTCCTGTTAAAACTGTGATGCGTAACAGAGATGCGTTTCTGACATTGAGGGTAACGAATCATTGAAACAAATCACTATGTCTTTGGTGGCTTCTCTGTCCCTGCGCATTTTTTGGTTCAACATTAGAGGTAAATAAATAAATAAATAAGCAGATATCCTGACAATGAGGTCCAGCTTTTGAATCTGGAGCGAGGTTTCCTATAACTAAGTCCTGTGTTTAATAGTATGTAGGAATGTGGGATGTCCTTCCGCCCTTAAGATCTATAAATCTGAACAAACACATTTTGCCAGTGATAACGGTGAAATAAAAAAGATATAGCATGCATTATGTGATTTTTCTTTTCCTTTTTTAGATTTATTGTCTAGAATAGACTTGGATGAACTAATGAAAAAAGATGAGCCGCCACTTGAATTTCCTGATACGCTGGAAGGATTTGAGTACATTTTTAACGAAAGTAAGTCATATATGCTTTGTAAAGTCTATACTTAGAATAGTGTTGAAAGGCTATCAGAACTTTACTTATGCCTTATAAGTCCCTATTAGAATTTCACACTTCTCTGTTAAGAATCAAATTTTAAGCCGTAGTGTTAACAAACTTATATTTCTAGCTAAGTAATTCTTTTTACTTCATAAAATTGTCAAAAAATCCCTCATTTTACACTGTACTGTAGGTTTGTACTGTGCACACTTTATGACTTACTGCTTTCTATTACAGAAGTGTTGAAAGAAAAATTCTGAAAGTGATTTCTGTAGCATTAGTATTAAAAAGCAAAATTAAAGACTGGTCACTCATTTAAGAAACGTTTTATTTACGGATTCATTTTTATGGATACGAAAGAAGCTATTATTTAGCTAATAATTTATTCCGGCTATTTCATTAATAATAATAGGAAAACACCTATTTATATTGATGGAAGGATGAGCAATGTGATAGACTGTCTCCTTCTCTTCTGGTGTGGGTCACGGCTTTGCATTACAGCAAAGTAATGGCTTAATAATCACAAAGTGTGTGATGGCTACGAGTACTTCCAGCAGCTGAATCTGTGTGTTAAATGAGTTAGTAGTATTTGTAATTTTCAGTGCATACATTTTAAAATCCAGCTGAGAAACAAGCCTCTGAGCTAAAGTCATACCAGACTCCAGGAAATGGCTCTTTCAAGATTGTTTGAAACCTGTAGGACAAATGGGGACGTTTACAATTCTGCTTCTTTGCAGTGCCTGTTCTGTGAACAGAGGAACTTTAGTTTCTAAATCTGCCTGTCTTACATCTTCCACTTTTAAAGAAAAAAAAGAGCTTTCCTTTAAATGATAGTCATTTATGCAACACTTAGCTTTTTAATACCCTGATGGCTTTCACAGGAAGGTACTTAGAGACTAAAAGTGTCATGAAAGTGATGCTCTTTCTTTGATGGGAGGGGTTCAGCTCTGTCACTTTTCAGCTCCTTATTTTTAGATCTGCACAGTGTCTACTGTCTTCCTTACTGACTTCAGAGTTAATGGTTCATATGCGGTTGATAAAAAGGGCTGAAATTTGAATTTTGGGGAGTGATGTTTTAGAATGATGTTATTGAATATTCCATCACTAACCTCACAGATTGAGTGATTTCCATAGAGCACAGCAAAATCTATTACATATGCTACTGGTCAGCAAAGCAAAAAGGTCTGTGTTTTGCTTTTGTAAATTTAATTAAAATGTTTGGTCGGGTACTCTTATGTCATAATCGTGCTTCTTTTTATGAAGGAGAAGTGAGGAACATTTTTATCAGATGTAAAGAATCTGAAGAAGACAAAGTTTCCAGAGTGCCAAAGAAAAAATGTGCCAGGTATTTTCTCCACTTTCCTTGTGGAGAGAGCAACTTTGTGTGCTATTGAATGGTATACTTGAAGAGTAACTAGTTGAGCAGAAACAGCTGGAGGTAGAGTTATTACAAAAGTATGAGAAGAAAGGTATTTGGACCTGAGACAGGGATTTGAAGTTGAGGAGAAATATTCCCCTGGTGTCTAGTATGCGGGGTAAGACAGGTCTGGAAAAAAATGTCAAATCAACAGATAAGCGTAACTATTAAAGATATCAGATCTTAAATATTTTATTTAAAATAAATATCTTCATTTAAGAATCAAAATGTAAACGTCTTGAAAATTGCAAAGTTAGCAATTTCTTACTGTTCAAGAGGAAATATTTTACTGAGAAACCTAACCTTCGTCACGCAGACATTTCAGCTTTCAAAGGAGACACTTGTAAATATCTCTGGTTTTAATTTACTGCAGTTTCGTGATGCTCTGAGAGCATAACTTGTCTTTTGTCTAATAAGCTGAAACATTAGTAGTAAGATATCTGTTTTCTGCAATTTTGTTGCCATTTTATTATGATGATTATTTTAACTCAGTCCACGTCTTCAGCAGTGCTTGGGTATGCTACTGTACTTTTACTATAAACAAGGCCAACTGCAGAAAGTTACATTGGAATCTAAAAACAGCGTGTGGTTTTGCTCTGATCGAGCATTCTGCTTTGTTCTACTGTTGTAATCTCAGTGTACTCTGAATCTAGGAGGTCTTAGTTGATTGCACTGTGCCAGGAGTTAAAACATTTCCCTTAACTGTGGATGTGTTTTTTTCAGATTAACTTAGAATGTTATTAATCTTGAAAATATTGTTTCCTTTCCTTCCAGCCTCAAGCTCAATTTGTACTCACATTTCTTCATAAATGCAGTTGATTTTGAAGTAGGGGATTTGTAGCTATAATTTGATCACCTAATTGACATTGAAGATCAAATATTAACTGCTAATGTTTACATTTCACTGTTAATCCATAGAGGCTGAGACGTAAATTTTGCAAAGCAGTTTGTCATTTGATGCCTGCGCGTAGTGTCACTGTCATCACTTCTGTTTAGCTTTATCTAGCAATATATACCATTCAAGGGGAATTCATTTTGTTATTCACAGAATCATAAAATGGTTTGGGTTGGAAAGGACCTTAAAGATCATCTAGTTTCAACCCCCCTGCCATGGGCAGGGACACCCTCCACTACACCAGGTTGCTCAAAGCCTCATCCAACCTGGCCTTGAACACCTCCAGGGATGAGGCAGCCACAGCTTCTCTGGGCAACCTGCTCCACTGCTTCACCACCCTCAAAGCACAGAATTTCTTCCTTAGATCTAATCGAAATCTCCCCTCTTTCAATTTAAAGCCATTACCCGTTGTCCTATAATTACACAGCCTTGTCAAAACTTCCTCTCCAGCTTTCTTGTAGCCCCTTTAGGTACTGGAAGGCTGCTATAAAATCTCCCCGGAGCTTTCTCTTCTCCAGGCTGAACAGCCCCAACTCTCTCAGCCTGTCTCCACAGCAGAGGCGCTCCAGCCCTCGCATCATCTTTGTGGCCTCCTCTGGACTCGCTCCAACAGGTCCATGTCCTTCTTGTGTTGAGGACTCCAGACCTGAATGCAGCACTGCCGGGAGGGTCTCACGAGACCAGAGTAGAGGGGCAGAATCCCCTCCCTCGACCTGCTGGCCACGCTCCTTTTGATGCAGCCCAGGATATGGTTGGCTTTCTGGACTGCCAGCAAACATTCCCGGCTCTCATCAGCCAACACCCCCAAGTCCTTCTCCTCTATGCCACTCTCAATCCATTCTCTACCCAGCCTGTACTTGTGCTTGGGATTGCCCCGACCCACGTGCAGGACCTTGCACTTGGCCTTGTTGAACTTCATGAGGTTCTCACAGGCCCACCTCTCCAGCCTGTCAAGGTCCCTCTGGATGGCATCCCTTCCCTCCAGCGTGTCCACGACACCACACATTTGGTGTCATCTGCAAACTCTGGCTTGGTGTCATCTGCTGAGGATGCACTTGATCCCACTGTCAGTGTCACCAACAAAGATGTTAAACAGCACTGGTCCCAGTACTGACCCCTGAGGAACACCACGCATCACTGGTCTCCACTTGTACATTGAACCATTGACCACAACTCTCTGAGTGTGACTGTCCAGCCAATTCCTGATCCACCAAGTGGTCCATCGATCAAATCTGTTTTTTAGAAACATCCAGTTTAGAGACAAGGATGTCGTGTGTGACAGTGTCAAATGCTTTGGACCAGTCCAGGTAGATGATGTCAGTTGCTCTTCCCTTATCCATCAATGCCGTAACCTCATCATAAAAGATCACCAAATCAGTCAGGCAGATTTCGCCCTTAGTGAAGCCATGTTGGCTGTCACCAATCACCTCCTCATTTTCTATGCCTTAGCATAGTCACCAGGAGGATCTGCTTCATGATCTTGCCAGGCACAGAGGTGAGCCTGACTGGCCTGTAGTTCCCTGGGTCTTCCTTTTTTCCCTTTTTAAAAGAGGAAATTATGCTACAGTTGTTTTCCTCTAAAAATGCTATATCCAGAAAAGGAGGAGGAGTTTATAATAGCCCAACTTTTAGATGTGCATTTCTTTTAAAATTTTCAGCAATTAAAGGTATCCTGCTTTTAATGAAGAAGTATATTAAAATTTAATGATTTTGTTTCTTTTACAGAAGGGCAGTTGAGACACATAAAAACTGGAGAGCCGTTTGTTTTCAATTATCGTGAAGATTTGCATAGATGGAACCAAAAGCGCTATGAAGCTCTTGGAGAGGTACGTAAATGGTGTGCGTGTATGCATGCGTGTATGTACTGGTATGCTGTGGTTTTTGTTGTGTTTCTCTGTACAAGTGATACTTTTATATATGTTAAGAAAGATTTAGTGAGGCTGCAGTCATTCAACAAAAGGTATTTTAGAATTTGTTGTGCGTTAATGCTCTAACAGTAATTTGCTGTATTTGCTGTATGGCTTAATGTTGCTGATTGACTTTATGTTGAAAATAGAATATCTAGATTACATAAATCAGAGACTATTATACAGTGGAGTATTTCCTTTAACTTTCTTCTCCTCAAAGTGAAGCACTGGGTACAAAACTGTGGCATTTTACTTTGTAGCTGAAGATAAATGGTTTTCCTGTGTTACAAGGAGATACTAGAAGCCATCAGATTGATTAAGTAGAGGTTTGATGATTAATTGATTCGCTATTTGTTGATGTACTAGATATTTGGATGCTACTGGTACTTCCCAGGCTTTTTGTAGGGATGCTGTGGATGTAGTAGGTGTAGAAGGGTTCCTTTTTATCTGAAAGTGACTTAATTTCAGTGCCATGCTTTTTGTAATGCTTTAGGAGTCAGAGGATTAACTTGAGAAGAAAGACGCCTGATCTCAGCGTATACAACACAGGGTGTGCTGACATCTTCCTTGCACTGTGGCAACCTCTCCTGCCAACAGAAGGAACAGCCTCAGCACGCTGACCTCTAGGTAGTAACACTGCTAACGTCAGAGTGGCTTTTGGAGAAAGGGGATGCGCAGCTCTGTGCAAAAACTAGGGTCTTTTATTTAGAGACCATATAATGTTGCCTGGTGATTTCAGTTGAAATCGTCATGGCATGTCATTCAAGAACTGCTTTTGCCTCATGACTTGTCTCCTTTCATTAGTGTTACTGTTTTAGTAAAGATCAAACATGTTTATTCCCCACTTACTCTTTCTGTTACAGTAATTCAGACTACTCAGAGATATGTTTGATTTCAATGTTTAGACATTCTTTCTTTTAAACTTTCTTGTTGTCATGGTTTAACCTCAGTGGGCAGTTCAGCCCCCCACAGTTGCCTGCTCACTCCCCACCATGAGATGGGGGAGAGAATTAGAAAGTGAGAAAATTCATGGGCTGAGATACAGTTTAATAGGTAAAGAAGCAGCTATGTGCACAAGCAAAGCAAAATAAGGAATCAGTTCACTACTTCCCGTAATCCGGCAGATGTTCAGCCATCTCCAGGAAAGCAGGGCTTCTTCATGCTTAGTGGTCACTTGGGAAGACAAACACCTTATTGGAAGATAACTCTGAACATCCCCCTTCCTCCTCCTTCCCCCCAGCTTTTATTGCTGACCTTGAGACCATGTGGTATGGAACATGCCTTTGGTCAGTTGGGATCAGCAGTCCCCGCTGTGCGCCCTCCCAACTTCTCTTGTGCACCTCAGCTAGTACACTTGTGTTCTAAAGAGTAAAAAGAAAACTAAAATGTCTGCAATGACAACCAGTCCACCACTGATGCAAAATAAGTAATATAAAGCATCTCGATTGAGTTTCTTGGATGGATAAATAACTATATACTTTAATTTATCACCAAATGGTTTTGTATAGTTTCTTGTGCTGTCAAGAATGCGTTTGTTAAAGCTGAAGAAATACCTAATTACATGGTCTTTCCTAGATATAGGAGGGAAGGCTGTAGGAACTCCTGTAGGCATTGATTATGTAGGCTCAAGAGAGTGCACAGCACAAGCCTCTGCCCATCTTGATTAACAGGAATGGCTCACCATCTGTCCTTAACCAGCCTAGCCTAGTCCAGTGTGGTTCAAGAATTCCCACCGGTGTTAGTTTGGATACTGTCAGGCCAAGAGAATTGGAAGTAAGAGATTCAGTGGAGTACACCAGGAGAGGAAAGAAAGAGGGAGGTTTACGTGTGTACAGTGTAACACCACAGGGCTGTGCAGTGCTGTATTTTTACACATAGAAGCCTCTATTTAAATACACGTACTCTGTTCTGTTACAAAGAATTTCTGTTCTTTGAGAGTAATTCCTCAAATAATTCTAGTTCCTAGGTTCCTAGGTTTTATTCTTTCAGTAAAATGAAAAGCCACCCCAGACCAGACCGCTGTGACTTTAGCAGGATAGATAACATGGATTAGTCTGTCTCCCACTTCCTTGCTGTGGCTCCCGAAGAGGCTCTGTGGTGGAGGGCGCCTTTCTGGTTGTGAGACTGCGATGAGAAGCTATTGCTGACCCTGCCAGGCCTCTGCTGGGTGGCGGTCTGGTGCTCTGCGCTTGCTCAGCCTCTCCGTTTGAGGCAGGGGACAGCCCGGACTCTGTGCTGGAGGCGTGGAGCAGTGCTTTGTCCTGCCAGAGCTTTGTTCCTGGGGATTGAACAACCTTGCTTTTTACCTCATCCTCCTCCTTGTTCCTGCGAGAGCTATGGCAGGGGCGGAGACGATGGGAGCTACTGCTGCTGCTTCTCACATCCTTTTCACCTCAACTGTCTGTTTTTCTGAAACAGGGAATGTGCTATTGCCCGATCTGTTGCATTGTCTGGGTTACTTCATACACATTGCATGCCACAGGACACAGATTGGCGCCTATTCCATGGCTGGTGTGTGCAGACCTTTGCATGTGTCTGTATTGTTCAAATACCCCCATTTTCCAAATAAAGGAGTTGTACAACACACGGCTACAAAGATTAGTGTGGTTCCGTGTGGGCTCCTGTGCCATCACACCTTCTTGTACGTGTTTGGCAACGTCATCAAATTCCTCATGCTGTGCATCTGAATTGCAGATGCCACGTCAACCCATAATAGTATGAATGAGTTCTTGTGATTTTTGATTAACCAGGAGGTGGGTTTTATTCATGGAGTGAGGGTCTCATGTCTGTGGTTTGTATTCTGCATTTTACCTTAGTTATAGTCATTCTCTGCGTTCAGGTTTGAGTAGTCTTTGAAAATGCACTTTGTTTATGTTGGTAGGTAAAAGGCAAGGAAAGTTTGGGGTCAGGAATCTGATAGAATCATAGAATCATGGAATGGCGTAGGCTGGAAGGGACCTTAGAGATCATCTAATCCAACCTCGCTGTCATGGGCAGGGACGCCTGTCAACTAGGCTGAATTGTTCTAAGTTGTTTCTTTGTTTTGTGTTTTTAGAGAAAAAAGAAACTCATCTGTGTTTCAGTCTGTTGTCTGCTAGGTGCTTGATACTACACAGTTCCTCCAAGAAGCCACAAACTTATAAATGCTCCATTGGCATTTATATTTTGGCACAAGGAGTGTTCATGCAGTTATCTGAGAATGCAAGGGATGCTGACCAGCAAGACCGTTGGCGTTCGTTCACATAAATAAAACTTCCGCTTGTGCCACAGATTGGTGGGTCACTGATGTTGAATAGTACAGAAACTATAAATTACCCTGTGATTAGCCATTTTGTAGTCCAGGGTAAGATGTGTTTAGCAAACTGTGATAGCTGAAGAAGCAGCGGCTCTTGTAATTCGTAAGGTCATGTAAAATCTGGCCTTAGGCCTTGGCTTTGAAACATTTGGCTTTAGGACTTGTCTAATACGTGTTTGTGGCTGAACATTTATGTAGCTGGACATACAGTGAGATGATAAAGTAGCTAGACACATATCATCGGACGAAAGTGTTTTATGTGTTTGGAGTTTCCATTGTTAGCTCAGTGATTGTATGGTGGTTTTCTGATTTTTAAAGGATTTACCCATCCTGCCCAAGGCAACTTTTTTTTTTTTATTGCACATATATATTGTGGACTGCTTTTATTGCATTTTACTAATTTCAAGAAGTGGGTATAGTTCCTGGCCTTATGTTACAGCATCATTCTGTCTTTCTTGGAGCATTAATAAATTTCCATTTGGTAATCCATGATTTTTTGCTGTTAAAAGTCATGAATACACTATCTGTGATGTTCTGCTGTTACTCTGGCTGTATGGAAATTGATTCTTCACAAATTACAAGGGTTCGTCAACGTCTGCACTTCTTACATCTCTTTATTCTTCAGTCATTGATCTGTTATTTCAGGCACACAATTTGTTCTGCAGCCTCTTGATATGTGCTCCTAATAGACAATTTAGTGAACTGTTCATAATTTTGTGATTCTGGTTCAGTCATTGCTATTGCGGCATTGAATTTTGTGGAGAGCCTCTCCATTTGCTTTTTAAAAATTAAAATGGCAACAGAAGTGCACAGAACATGGTGTTGCAGCTGCTTCTAACTGCCGATTAATCCGTGTAGCAAGTTTGAAGTACGATTGAGAACGATTTTGTGACAACAGTTCAGTTGTTGCAGACATACCATTCCAGTGAAAGGTTGATTTTTTTTTATTTTTTTTTTTTTTTCCAGCCAGGAGTTATGGTGATTTGGATTCTAGGTTAAGCTCTAGATGAGACTCACAAGATGTATGTCTCCTTGCATTTTAACTAGATGTCTGCGTTTATTGCTTATACTCACTTTTAATTGATACTTTGGCTACTGAAGTTGCCAACAGGCAGCTTCAGCCCCTGCTTGATCATGACATTTGAATTGAACTGGAATTACAAAGAAAATACGACTGAAATCTATTGCTGGGATTTTACCTTGCATTTTACCAGTTGTATAGGTTGTGTTGATAATGAGATTTCGTATGAGAAAGATTAAACCAACATTCTCCTTCTATGGTCTTATAGTAACCGGTGTATCACTGGCATCAGTAGGCGGTTGTTGTCTGTCCCTCTGTGCGTCTCTTACAGTTCTACCACTGGGTGATTGTAATCTGGTGATTGCTTGGAGGCCATTTAATATGTGCAGATGTTTTTGTGAGTGCCATCACCAAGGAAGTAACTTACCTGTACTAACAGTTGGCTTGGCTACACGTCTTTAGGTCAAACAGGATTTTTAAACATGTAGATTATAATGTGGACTGTGGCATAAATGCCTCTGCTGTGGTCCTATTCTAAGACTAGTATATGCTGTCTCTGGTAATTGTAGCCTGTTTGACCTGCAGAAGCATATGAGCAGGTAG